TGTGTGTGTGTCTTTCCAAACAAGAACCTTAAATTAATTTCCTGAACAACTGGCCTTATTTTTAAAGCTTCAGAACACAATCATATATCTGTGCATAGTTCTGAGCTGAGACCTACAGACCTGAGAGACACAAAGCTGATATGATTTTCAAAAATATCAGTTCAAATTATTGGCTTTATTCCACAGTTTATTTTCCCCAATTCTGGAGACCACAAGTCTAGCTGATACCATTAAAAAGAAACTACCAGCTTCGAGACTTGGGTTACAATACAGCTCAAGGAAGGAAGGAGGAAATACCCAAGTTTCTTAAAAAGAAACTGTTAGAAGTTTTCTGCCAAGTTTTCTTGTCTTCCTTTTGTGCCATTTTCATAAGATACAGAGAGCTTCTTTAAAGAGGATTTTTAAACATTTACCAAACAAATATGATTAAGGTAAAATATATCATAGATCTGCCCTAAGTCTAAGCAACCAGAGGAAAAAAATCTACATTCTAATGGTATTTGAAAAATAAGAAAATTTAACAAAGAGGAAACCTGGCACTAGACAAGACTTTAGTCACATGTAATCTGTCTGGAAAAAATCCAAGGATTCATAAAATTCACATTTTATCAATTTAACAACAGGAATGGTATCACAAATCATTTTGACCTTTTTGTCTAGGAAAGCAGTTACAGAGAACTATTTTTTACTAATGAAATTCCTCTGATAAGCACATTTCAGTGTTGAGAACATCCAAAAGCAGCATATTTGTAGAAGAGCAAAGGCTTATTTATATTAGTGTTGCTTTCTAAGCTTTTAAATGGCCTCAGTATAGTCTCAGCATTATACTTCGTGTGGTCTATAAAACATTGTGTCATGTGTCACTTATTTCTGTACAGCTGATTTTATAATGGTGCCTAGATTTTTCATATTTTCCAGTTGCATTTGTGATTGAGATATCAAATACTGTTGTACAGAAGTCAGCACAGCTGAATCCAAGGGGACTTACGTGTGTGCTTTAGAGCTGTGCTGGACTGACACCCAACAGCTGCTTAGTCTTCTCAAGATGTCTGATCTCAGGTGACAAGAAATTCCAGCATAGGAATTTGGGTTTCAAAAGCTTTAAAACAAACACTGAAACATCTACTCTGCAAAGCTCCTATCAAAAAACTCACTGCTTCTCTTGGCAATATAATGTTAGAAAGGGTTAATATTTTTTTTTTTTTTTAATCCGAGTCCAACACCTGCTGTGTAACGTAAGTAAACAGGGCCTTACAGCCAAGCAGAAGTTTCCTTAGGGTAGCAGTGCAGGTTAGAAAGGTTCATCAAATACAAAGTCTGAACGTCAGGGCTAACTTTCACGTGTCTGTCAGCAGGATTCGAAGATGGACTTACTTATGAAAATCAGAGCTCAGAATGCAATATATATTTACTGTTCCATCACAAAATGGATGCCTTTGATTACATATTCTCTTTGAGAAGTGGTGTATGACCCCAGTTTAATGGTTCCTCTTTATGTTTGCCCCTTTGATGTTTTGCTGAACATTTTTCCCAGTGCTTGTCTGCTTAATATTATTTCCCCTGCAAATCAAAGGTGACTGAAAATAACAGAAGAAAGGAAGTGATATTTGCCATTGTTGGTGACAGATTTTCAGATTAAGGAAAGCAAGACTATTCTAATAATAGTCAGCAAGACAAAGCTGAAGTGGTGGAAGACCAGATGCTATTCATGTGGTTTAATTTCCTGCAAGAGTTGTAGTGACAGAGAGGCTGGTAAATCTAAACTCCAACCCAGCTTAGCCTTTTTGAATGTGAAGCTTTTTTTTGGTTCATCTTCCTTTGATTAACACCTTCAGCTCAACAGCATCTCTGTGTTTTCTTAAAGGAGGGTGAGAACCATGAACAATGAACCCCTAAATGTTTTTGTACTCTTGCCTGGAGGAACGGAGCTGCTGCCAGCAATTAAGGATAGTTAGTAGTTTCCTAACTAGTGTAAACACTCAGATCCTATAATTAAAGCTATTTTATACTCCCTTGCCTTGATGGACTCAGCTCCTGCCTAGTCTCATTTCTTTTTCTGAAATATGGTCACACTCTTTGATCCTTTTGCAGCTCACCAAGGGGTTATGACCCAGAGTTTGAAAAATGCAAGTCAATTAGTCAGATAGCTTAGGGAAGTCTCAGTTGACTCTTATTTGCTAGGGACAAATTGTCATATGTGTTTATTTTCTAAGAGCAAGCAATTACCCGTACATATTTATAAATTTCTATCCGTTATCAGTTTGAAGAAGTCATTAAATGTATTTGAAGACCATATAAATGTTTCCACCAATTATAATCTTTAATATTGTTTTTCTTTTAAAATTTATTCCCAGATAATGGAATTGTGCTGAAAGTCATTACAATTTACAATCAAGAGACAGAATCAATGGAAGAAGTGATTCTTGAAGAGCTGCAAGTATTCAAGGTGAACTGTGTTGTATATGATGCACATATGCAAGTCTTGAATTTTCTGCAGAATTAAAATGTCTAAAATATCTGAGAATAGTCAAATATATAATAGTTGTGTGCCAGAAATTTTTTAATGATCTACTTATTTTATGGTAGGAAATTATCATTTTCAACTGAAGTTTTTCTGAGGTGGAGTTATAGCCCAAGTACCGAAGCATATTGCAGCAAACCAGGACTACTGTCTTTCTGTTTACATGCTTCGAGGTTGTAGGGTGACTTTTCATTAGAAACTTACCACTTTTTATTTAATTGTCCCTCATATGAAATTAAGTTTTTAAAAGAGTGTAACTACATGCACAAAAATATGCCTACTACAGTCTTGGAAGCTTCAATGAGGTCCAGATTAAAAAAACAACCATAAATTCCTCAGAAAGAGCGAATCAGTTAATCTCTTTACAGTGGGCAAACCTGAGTCCTAGTCAGGCAAAACTCCATTCTGTTTAACCAATGACTAAAGCTCAGGATTTGGTATGTGGCAAAGCTAATATAATGAAATTCTCTTGGTGAGTATTCAGATCACGTCATGTTAGCCACACAAAGTGGGAGGCTAACCTACCTGGAACTGTAGGGTTTTTTTTTCAACCAAACTTAGATATTTAAATGTGGTACCTGCATTTAAGCAATGTAACTACTGACTTGTCGCCTGGAGGGGGAAAAAATCACAGAAATTGCCCCTCTTAATAACGCTGGTTTTCAATAGACCTATTAGGGGCTATGTTTTGCCATCGCTCCAGGAAATCTGAGCAGAGGGCAGAGAGGACAATGGTAAAAGAAGGAATTTCTGCTATTTTTATCTTATCTTCAATGAATGTTTTGTTATAAAGAACACTCCACTTATCACTCTCAAGTAGGACAAGAGAGATTCAGTGGTGGCAAGAGCTTATGTCATGTTTGACAGGGAAATTGTAGTGTTCCTGTGGCTCCGATAATCCTGAATTAAGTGTTGGCTGGTTGTTTTTAAATAAACTCTTTCAAAGCAATAGTTCTGAAAGTCACAATTTCCTCACGTCTTTCTGTAGCGTCAGAACTTAAAGAAAGCCAAAGTATTTAGCAAAGCTGAATATAATAAGTAATCATCAACACTATTTTACCTAATTTATTGTCATAGCAAAAAGATATTCTTTTTTCTAAGCAAGGAAATATTTACTATTTTCTAGGTACCTGTTCCTATTATTTCTATGGAAATCTCTTCAAAAAGAGTAAGTAATTGACAAGTTTGAAATGTGAAAATTATGACTGAAATATAACAAAGCTATAAACTATATAGAGATAAATAGATACATAGATAGATAGACAGATGGATGTACCTAATCTATAATGAGATCTGTAATATAAACTTATGGTTATATGCTCTGTTCCTTTATGAAGCATTTATGTTCTTCAATTCTAATGTTAAATCTCCCTATTTCACACTATCATTCATATCAAAGCAAGTAAAACCCAATCTGTTTCATGAGTTACTGGCATAGTAATGACAGTAGGGATTAGCTTGGTGGATATGGCAACTCACAGAAAAGTTCCTCGCTGATGAATGCAGACAGACGTCAGGCCCATGGGGATATCAGTGCAAAAAGAGCCTTGCTGACTCTCCCACGTATTCAGTTGCCCATGAAAGGCAGGGCTGTTGGGATCTGACTCCCTTTTGAGTTTCTGCTAGTTTCTGCTAATATAAACACCCAATTTATTACTCTTGTAGGTAGATTCTCATGTGTACCATATCATAGATATCCATACCATATCATCATATCATCTCAGGATGAAGCCATTATAAACATCCAATGACAGTCATACCTTAACAGATTTTAGACATCTAATGCAATGTAAGTTCACATAAACATAGTGAAACACAAGTAACAGAGAATGAAAGTTGCACTACTAGGCGGTGTGAGTGTGCCCCAAAAAGATCATTTTAGTCTTGGTGTGCAGTCATTCTGCATTCTTTCTGTAAGTAATGTAGAAAGACAAACCCCTTTGATGGTGATTCAGAGGAGGATCTTAGGTGTAAGAAGTATTCTGAATTATTTCCTGGATCAATCTATTTTTTTTTTCCATGTGAAAAGCAGTTCTAGATTGTCTAACACTGCACCTAAGTGATTATTTAGAGAAAGACTTCAGTGTAATTTCAAGTATTTGCCTTACCTCTAGCTCTCAGTGAAATGTCACAGTAAAAGGATGGTTTTGGAAGAGTAAAAAAGGAGATACAGTATAAAAGTGAAGTAGTCTTCCTCCATTACATCCAGCTCCCAGGAGGGCTGCTAACTCTACTAATTCAAGAAGTATCTGGAAAATCTGGAGACAATTGTAAAAAAAGCTGCCAAAGCAATCTAGCAGTTGAAGAATGAGCATTCTTGTGAGACATAAACACAGCTTAACTTTTTCAAGATATCAAAGAAAAGACTGAGAGACAACAGGATGCCCAGATATAACTTTTTACTCAACAAAGTGACTTCCTAGTTTATGTGTATGGAGATCCTTGAACAGTGATAGCAAAGCTATATCAAGATTAAATAGCCAAGTTTAGCTTGTTGAATGAAGATAAACTTGATCTTGAAATAGGATGCAGTTTTCTGGTACTGAGGACAACTAAATGTTGCAATACATGTTAGGGACAGGGTTTGCACCAGGTCATTTTATCTTTAAACAGCAGAAGTGTACCTTGGTTGCGTTTATGTGAAAAAAGTTACATAGCTTCTCTGCTCAAGCATTTTGGCTAGTCTCTTTTGACCTTGGAGTTGTGAGCCTGTGGAGACCTTCTTGCTAGCTTAGTTTCGGTATCTTTATAACACTAACCAGTCTTCACTAAGTCATCAGTACAATAAAATGTCATGTTTCAGGGCTGAGCTAGTTATCTGCAAAGGCTGGGAAGGAATGTTCTTCTTTGATGTTCAGTTTGCTAGATATCAGATGCTTTTTGCCCTCCTCTGATGAACCAAGACTTAGAGTAGTCTTTACCCCTGCTAAAAGATGAAAGAGAAAATCCCATCTCGTATGTCTCATTGAGTGTTGTTCATGTCTTCTGGGACAATCACACCGCAGCCTGTGCAGACAAGAAAGAATTCCCCTCAAACAAGGATCCTAGGTTTCTTTTTTTATTCCAGTTGGCAGATTGAGTTCCTGCTACTATTATCTGGTTTGCCTCAGATGAAAAAGTCTTCAAGCATTAGTTACCAGCTTCTCCTAGTTTTAAATTTCATGTTTTGCGATAGGCAAGCCAGACTAAATGAGCTGCCAGGATTTTCCAGATTTAAGATTTTCAAAATATAAGATTTTGAAAGCTTGGTCTAAGAGTGGGAATTACAGACTAAGTTTGGCCATTAGGATAAGCACAGCTTAAGTCTTCATTAGGAATCCTTTTTCTGACTGGCAGAACCATGGAAGTGAACAGTGCATAAGCAGTTCCCATTGCAGTGCACACTGCATATTTCTGTGTTCACTCCATTTACTTTCACCAGCAATAAGATTTTTTCTGAAATCCCTGTAAATTCAATCTATTATCTTCTGAATTTATTATGCCAGCGACTCATGAATCAGACTGGTCATCTTGATTTGAAAAGGACATTTATGTGAACTCAGAAGATTCAAACAGTCTTAACACTAATGGTGAAAAAAACCCAAATCCCTGCAAATAAATATTAAAGAAGTAGATTTTGACCATTTAATTTGTAAGGACAGGCTGCCCAGTACCAGGAAAAATAAACTATCTCCCATGCATTGAAGGATAATACAAATCATAGTATTATTGTGCATGTGTATATGTGACCATATTGTAAGTAGCCACATCAAGAGCTAAATTTACTTGATAACTCCCATTTTAAGACTGAGGTTGCTTATAACTTTTGCAAATTTGAACTTCTTTGTTTAAAGTCTGTCATGTCAAAGTTTTTGTGTTTTTGGTTTTTTGGGGGGTTTTGTGGTTTGGTTTTTTTTTTTTTTTTTTTTTTTTGTAGATCAGTTAGGTGAAGGGAAGTGTAAAGAGAGAGGCATTGGAAAATATCTTGAGGAAGAAAAAGAAACTTAAACCCCTGCCTATTCAAACGCAGAGCTTACAAAGCTTACACTTCAGAAGTGAGGAAATGCCAAAATAAACTCATTCGGTTTATCTTCTTTCTATCCTCTGTCCGCATGCGGGAGAGTTTAGTCTGTAATCAGATATTTTCCTACAGAGTAACTCTGCCTCCCTCAGGGCACAGGCTGGATGCGCAACTGGCAAGCAATGCTAAAGCTAACGTTTTTTAATAACTCCATTGGTAACAGAAATTTTAGTGGAAGTTCTAGGAATTTAATTGTACATGGTGTATTTTTTTTCCAGCAACAGCTCTACGTTGGATCTGAGTCACTCATAGTGCAAATGAAGTTCCATCAGTGTGACATGTACGGCACTGCTTGTGCGGACTGCTGCCTCGCTCGAGATCCGTACTGCGCTTGGGATGGGATCTCCTGCTCCCGATACTATCCCACAGGAATGCAGGCAAAGAGGTGAGACCTGCTGCTTTCTGTGATATCCTTTTTTTTTGCAAAATAGCTACTCCTACAGAGTTCCTACTGCAACACAAAGTACTTCATATCTTCCCCTTCATAAAAATAACTGAGTAGTAAGAAGATATGTTAGCTGCTAATTTATTAGCGCAAACATAAGGGATTGCAAAGGACCCAAATTAACAGGATGGCATAGGCTGCAGTACCAGGAATATTTAAGTATTAAGTTTTAAACACACCTCAGTTTCCTTATACATCTTTTGGTGTGCAAGATGGTTTGTAACATCAAAGACCTATTTTGGTAGTATTATACAGCAAATATATCACACTGCAATAACATATATAATAAAATTTAAAAAAAAAAAAAAAAAGGAAAGAAGAATCTGTGTTAGTAGTTAAATACCTTCACCAGCCAAAATGAAACCAGGGTATCTCCAAAAGCTAAGGTTAGGCTTAGGCTTTCTCCAGTGAATTTATAAAGACAAGTTACTCTAGAGGCCAGTTCAAAGCATGACCTTAATTTGGGTTCTTTAATTTTTCCCTTAGGGAGACTTCTCTCTGTCACCATTCACATATTTGTAGTTCTTGGCCTTCACTCTTCCATGCAGTAATTTCCCATATACCTGTCCTGTTCCCTTCCCTCTCAAACCCACGTCTTCCAATTCAGCTACACAGATACTTGATCAAGCATGTAGAACATGCATATTTTAATTCAGACCTTTTCACAAGATTTTGAGTTAGCTTTGCCACTGGAGAGAGTAATTTCTAGCCTTAGTCAGCAAAACTTTATAATTCAAATCCTTTCTGTGGCTTTTTTACAATTACTGTTTCTGCAAATATATTCTTGTATATATTAGATCTACATGGACTGCAAGGATTAGAATTAACTGAGTAACTTCTGGAGACAGTTTTAAAAAACAGTGGAGAAAGTTCAGTCAAAACCAAGTCACTCTATCCCAAATTGATTATTGTTTCTTAAGGAAACATAGGAAGGTTTTGTTGGGTTTTTTTGGTTTTGTTTGTTTGTTTGTTTCTTGTCCTGTACACCTTATCTTTCCATGAACCCAGATGCACTCAAACAAATGCACTGCTGACTAGAGTCAGGCACAATGGACATTTCTCTGGATTTTTCGAAAAGATAATAAACAGAGAAAGCATTGGATAACCCAACTTTTTGGGTAGGGCACATTAAAATATAAAATGAGAAATATAGCCAATGACTCAGCAATTAAGAATCTCTTAGACTCGTTACACTGAGGCATAGGTTAAACCTACACCACTTTTACAAGCAGGATTGCATAGTCTTCTCATGCCTCTTGCAAGCAGACCTAAGGGAGGAAGCGGGCTCTGGTTGTCTGCACAATGTGAGAAGAGTCTGGCTAAAATTTTCAGTCCCCAGATTAAGAAAGATGAGCAGCTATATAGTGGGTCGGGGAGATTAATTTCCCACAGTCTAAGTAGAAATTGGATTACCATAATTATAAAGCATATGGGTTACTTATCTAATGATGTAAAAGTCATTTGGAGAAAGGGGGGGGGGTTTAAAAAATTTCCCAGCAGCCTGCTAGGACTGTATCAGCATTTACGTTGTTCTGCAGGCTACTTATTGTCTAAGAAAAGATAAGAGAAACTCACTCGGTCCTGAACTCTCTTGTACATTTTTAGCATATTTCTCACCTAAGACAATTTCCAGAGTAGCAGCCCTTAAGTCCCCTGACACACGCGTTTATCCAGGGTTGAGTGATATGGGCAGCACCCCAGGCACCTTCCTGTGCCTTACCTCCCCAACATTCAGCAGGTCAGTCTCTAAAAGAAGAAAATACTGCTGTTATCAGCCTCCTTCTCTTAAGATAAGCACTGCAGCAGTGGAGAAGGGATTTGCACTCAACTGAATGTTCTTGAAGTCTGCAAAACTTGTTTTACTTTAAGAGTTTGGGGAACAGCCAGCAAGAACTAATAATGTTGAGAGGGATGGATGGCATTTCCTTTGTTCACTTTAGCTCATAGCTGAAGCTCAGAGCATTTTAAACTTACGAGCTTACACTAACTGTGTGGTACATGAAGAGGCAGGGAGAGCTACTCAGGACGTGTGTATGGAAGTTGTTTTAAGTTGCCTCCTGCTGGGTACCAGGTGGAGAGCACTGGTGGAAAGGGCAGGTCTCGGTAGACAACACGGAGTTTTCTGATACCAAGTGACCCTGAGCAGCCAATAACCCTGACATGGCTGTTCTGGGCTCCAGGTACAGTTAACACTACATCCCAGAGCATACAGGTCTTGATTTGACCTTGTCTCTGGACTCCAGATTTCTGCTCAAGCTGTACAAGCAATGTGATTAGAAGGGGCATTGGAGAGCACTTGTTCCCCCCTGTTCCTGGCAGCCCTCACTTCATCAGGACTTGTGGAGCTGTGCCTTACATTAGAGGACACTTGAGCTGCCTTTAGTACCACCACTATCTGCTCAAATGTGGCCCTCATATAGTACATTTAGGTGGGCTTTTGACTTGTAAGAGCAGCCCTGCTAGTGCGGTCAGCACTGCTCCGAGCCCTCTTTTCAATTCCAGTCCTCCTGGTGCAGAGTTGAACCGAAGCAGGGATGTACAGCGTGTCCTCCCCACTTTGATTCAAATGCTCTCTGCTTTAGATCCTAATGTCTCCAGTGTATGACAAGTGTTTAGAGAAACATGAAATAGAAGAACTGTAAACTAAGACATGTAGGAGATAGAACTTCAGCATAAATAAAAAAAACCCCTCTGGTTGACAGCTGGCACTAATTTGTTGAATTGTGAGAGCCTATAATATAATTACTTGTGAATGCATAGCCTGGATAGTTAATTAGATATAGGATTTAATTGAGGACAAATAAAAACTGCACCCAAATTCTCGTATCTTGATGCTGACCGTGCAGCCCACTGCAATGTCATGGTAGTTACAGGTGTACAGCTCCTACATACTGCAAATACTTAAGATGCCAGAAGGAAATTATATTGCAGTCAACTTCCATGAAGTGTGCTTGAGAAAGCAGAGACGTCCAGGACTTAAATAAATGCTTTAGTTCACTATTACCTCAGCAATCTGATTTAGGCAGGTTCCATTTATGTCTAAACAAGCACTAAATTCCACAAGTGAGATTCTTTGCTGTGCTAATTCACCGTCCAGGCTGAAAAAGGGCTGAAGTAATTTTAAAATATCTTTCAGCTTGGGTAGGTCTGTGATTCCTGTGATTCCTTAGCTAATTTTAACAAGCTGACAGTAACCTTCCTGCCTCCTCTCCCTCTCTAGCCTCTCTCTACACCAGCAAACACCCTGGTGGGGGGTGGGTAAGCAGCTGCCTTCACCTTGCCACTGAATCCCAGTGCTAACCCAAGTGTCACGCTGTTATAACATTTGGTTCGGCAACCTCAAATTCAGTCTACTGATTTACTTAGCAAACCGCAACGATGCCTTTTCTCCCTGAGCCATTTCAACTTTGCTTCATCTGTCCCTGGGAAATAATACAGAAACATGAAGGTGATGGTGATGATGATGATGATGACTCTGTTGCTTTCTTGCAGATCATTTTTACTAAGTTCCTGAAAGCACAGAGTTGCAGACTGAAATCTAAATTCATGAAGTTATAGATTGCAAAAGCCACTTCCATACATCCAGTACATTTGCTAGTCACTGAAAATTGTTCTGTATAGTAGTTTATCTCAGGAATTGTCTGGCACTCTATTATTCATGGAATTCTGAATGAAATGATTACTAAGAAAAAATAACAAATACCAGGCTTATGTCAGTATTTATGAAATGTTTATTTCCCAGCATCTCCCTCTCTTTCAGCACCTCTCCCCGTTTTTTCCTTCTCTTCAAAAAGGTAGCAAGTGAAGACACTAATAAAAGTATCTTTCCCAGTCTTCACACTCACAGCAGTAAAAATCCATCAAAGGTTTCTCTTTCCTGAATGGTTCTAAGAACTGGAGAAACATCCTATCTTACAGGACTAGGATTTTTTAGCTCTTCAATGATCTTTGGGGACTGAAGGGTAAATAGCACATGCTTGCTAACTGTCCTGTTCCTGCTAGGTAGGGCTGCTGGGCTTGACACCAGCAGGGTTTTCTGGTTTGATTTTTCAAGGCTAATGTCTGTAGTACTTATGTATATTTGTGCAAGAGAATGTCTCTTCTGAATAATCAGTATACACAGATATGCAAAGCTGGTGGCAGCATTATCCAGCACTGACATATTGCAGTTTTCAGTAAGCACGGCTGCAACATCTATACATTACAATGAGAACTCCCAGGGCATGATAAAGCCCTGTTGCTATCTCAGAATCTCAGGTTTTGTTTAATAATATGCACGTATTTTTAGTGTTTCTGCCTTAAAGGCCCAATGTGGTCCCCACTGAATTTGCAGATTTCCCCTGAAAGAACAACGTCAAAACACTGGTTCTGCTGTGAATATCAGTAAAGGTTAAAGCTGTCCTCTCGGTCCACCAGCACCACTGGATCAGAAGTCCATACGGGTGACAGAATGCAGAAAATAATCACTGTCTACTGCCAATTTAGAAACATAATGAGTACCATCCATGGGCAAGATCATTAAATAGTGTAAATCTACATACTTTCAGTAAATTCAATTTACGCCAAATAAAAATTCTGCTTTTTGTGTTCACATAGGACTGGAGAAAAGCATTATTTAAGTAGAAATACAAAGAATAACAAAACTGCTATGCTTTGCTTGTTTCTATCATACATGATTTATACTGTACACATACCTGCTGTGTAAGATTTTCTGCATTGCACATTTTTGTTAATCTATTCTGTATGACATTCGTAATACTGTGTAGAATTACTCTTTATGCAAATATAGGAAAGGTCTCATTAGTAACTAAATTCCAGGTTGTTGAAAATATTACATCTGGCAAGATATGACATTCCAATAGGCTCTTTCATTTCCTTAGTAAGCAATCTTAATTTTATTTATCAGGACACTCAGAGAAAAAAAAATTGCCGTATAAAAGCACAATTCTTCTGGGAATGTACTGTACAATTATAGTTTTCATTATTTTTCTGTAAATGTGTATAAAAAACCTAAGCCCAAAACTCACAACATTTTTTTTTCTCTCACAAGCAATTGCATTATTTCCAGGCTGTAGCCAGGACTCCCAGGTTCTGACCACAGTTCTACCACTTTCTAGGCATGAGCAAGTCATGAATGTGTCTGTTTCCCTACTGGGATAAATGAGCTTAACAACTGTCTACTGCACAGATGCAATAAAATAAAGTATTTGCTCTGTGCTTTGAGATTCCCAAGTGAAAAAAAACCTAACATGAGAGTGAAGGATAAAAGAACTGCCATTCAGTTTGCCATACAAGTCAAACTGTTCTAAACTAAAAAAGGAAAATTTCCTTGGCTTCCAGAGAGAGAGAACCCAAAGACAGGCTAAAGGTCCCTTTGACTCTTCCTAGCACTGAGTGTTGCCCAGTTGGTTCAGATGATCGTGTTTTAGTATTTATAACATCAGAGTAGTTATGTATAAACTGGACACATGGTTGTGCCTCTTCCCCAGACAACTCTGTTTCTTTTTTTCAGACATGTGATTCTCAATAGGTTAAGTAGGGAGAAAATATCGATGCATAATTGCATATTTCTCATAACAATGCTAAATTTTTAGGAATCAAATTTTTTCTCCTTGTGTTTTTAATGAATGCCACATTAGCACAAAACCAACAACCTGTAAGCCAAACATGTTATCTCAAACAATTCCATTTTTTCCCCTCCAGACGTTTCCGCAGACAAGATGTTCGACACGGAAATGCAGCGCAGCAGTGCTTTGGCCAGCAGTTCATTGGTAATCTACTCACACGTTTACAAATTGCTAGCAAATGCCTGGAGCAGAGAGTACAGACCTTGCCAAGAGTATAAGCCAGACCATGATCTCACCTGAGGTTTTTTCCTGACATATTCCTGTAAGAGTCACCAGCCCCTGTCATCCAGGTCTAGGAATGACTGTTTCGATGGCAGGTGGGGTCCAAGCCATGCATTCATGTAGTCCCACAGCCCTGTCATTCAGACTAGGGATGTGGCCAGTGCATCTCAAGGGCTTCCAACAGAAAGTGAGATGGGGCAGGGATAGGAAACAACAGGGCTGCATCCTGAAATTAATATGAAATACTGCCAGGACACTCAGCCAGAAGTGGGAATTGAAGGAGCTCCCTAGCATAGACATGGGCAATGACATGAAAGAACACAAATGTGTATTTATGATCAGTATCAACACTTGTTCTAAAAAAAGATAGATTACTGTGTCCAATGCTGTTGTCTAAACCTTGGAAAATGATGTTTTCAAACTTTGGTATTGGGAATGGCAAAATAGACAGAAAGAGTTGCCTGGACATCCTCAATATTTTGCAGGATAACACCTAATACATTTATAGAAGAAAAAAAAAAAATAAAAGGTTATTTCAGAGAGATAGCCAGAGAAAAGATATTTTAGATATTGAATATTAGATAGATATTTTATCGGAGAAAGCTTCATTAAAATTGAAGTCCATTGGATGATATAGTAGATTTTTGAAAACTGTATTACAATATGAAATACTAATTACATAGCAAGTTTGAAATACAACAGAGAAATAACAATGATATCAAAGCCTGTATTTTTAGGGTATAAAACTGATTGGTCTCAAGAATATTTTTCACTACTATGGAATAAGATGATTTCACTAATGAGGTAACTGATATCCTCCATCATAGATAGAGATGCTAGCTTATCGTCCTCCAGGTGTTTTGTCGGATGGAAAAGCAGAATAGAGTTTTGATTAATTTCATTCACCTTGTTTTTATTAGCATCCTTGGGCCAAAACTATACATTCATTTATACATGTGTATAACATGGATATGTATAATATTGGTTAGGGTATTTATAGTTTTTAAGAGTTTCATTCTGCAAAAGGCTATGTGCTCTCATTATTATCCCTAAAATATTTAATTATTCATTATATTTAAGCATGTATTGAATCCTCCTGTTTCACTGAGTGAAAATGAAATAAATGAACTATTCATAAGAACCAGGCCCAAGTAATTAGCAGTGTGAAAGGCTGAGATCTGTTTCTCTGTGTAAAATCTTAGCTGAATCATGGCACAATTTGATCCGTTTATCTTATGGCCAGATCCTGTGAGAGTCTTTGATGGGAAAATTCACTCAGTAGGTCAGACCTTCCCCAGATACTATTTTTCAGTCACTATCATCTGGTTTGATCTGAATTAAACGTCACTCTTAAAAGTAAATATATCTCAAATATGGAATATAACAAGTACTCACAGTAGCACATATTTTTAAAATATTTCTTTTCCTTCCAGGTGAAGTCCTGGAGAAGACTGAGGAGCGACTTGTTTATGGAATAGAGTACAACAGCACCCTTCTGGAGTGCACCCCTCGGACCTTACAAGCAAAAGTAATCTGGTTTGTCCAGCGAGCACATGAAACTAAGAAGGAAGAGGTAATTATTCTTATAGCCTAAATAAAGGAGCCAGTGGTTAGTAATATTACATCTTCACTGAAAGGTCTGTCATCAGTTGTTGAAATGTACATGGGTGTAAGGGAAAATCATTATGTTCTCTTGAATTAATAGACCTGAGAATTTCATCTGGTGTTTGCATTCAGCATCTTGAACCCAGATGTTAAGAATATAGTGAAACTTGATTTAAGATCTCAAACTAAAAGAAAATCCACCACTTCTCTTGGTATGTTACTGCAGAGGTGAAATGTGTACATATTACTCCCAGTATTAGTCTAGTCTGACATCTATTAATTCTTGCTGCCTCACCCGTTACATTAGAGAACCTTCTGAAAATGGGCATCAGTGGATTCTCTGCTTCTTTTACATATATTTCCCTGTTATGAAAGTGTTTCATAAGTGTTGTTATATTTATTCCTCATTACCTCTCTGGTCCACATCAGTGTAAGTATTCCCACTTAGCACATGGAAGGGCATAAGGAGAAAAGCCCCAAACCACCAAAGCCTAGCAGCTAGGGTCTGCTGCAAACATGAGACACCAGCTTGGCCATAGACATCTGCAGATTTCTGGAGTGGGACTCATCTGACAGTAAATGTGGACATTTGTAATAAAGAGATCTACCCAGGAGCTAGTTGATTTAGGCTGCCTTTGAAGTCAGACTAGATGGTGTTGCAATTTCAGCCAGCGGTATCACCTCAAGCTAATCTAGACAGGTTCATCTGGTCAGGTAAAAAAGGACCAGTAAACCACTGAATACAAAATTAACCAAGGATGCCACACTCTGCTTTAAATATCTGAAATTAAGCAAGATGATTGCCATCCCCGCTTTAGGCACATTTTTGCCTGAAGTTTTGTCCAAGTCCCAAATCTCTGCATGGGTTTTCACACTTGGTATTTCCTCATGTAGTTAGCTGGAAGATCCCTACCTATGCATAATTATTCTTACAATAGAATTATTCATAAGGCCTTTTACAAAATGTAGTGAACTATGGGGGGGGCGGGGGGGAGGATGTTCTATTACATATACATCCCATTAGATCCAGTAGCGCCGATACTGGACAACAATAGTGTGAATCTGAACACTATACTACAAGGATTAATTTGCTTTAATGTTTTCCCCTGAAAGTTATTCCATTTTTTGTGAGTAAGTATATACTCATTAGAAAAAGACAAATAAAAGCAGAGAGAAATAGAATCATAGAGTCAAAGAATGGCTGGACCTTTAAAGGTCACCTAATCCAACCTCCCTGCCGTGGGCACGGACATCATTCACTGGATCAAGCCGCTCAAAGTCCTGTCTAACCTGACCTTGAACACTTTCTCATGGGTCAACCACAACCTCTCTGGATAACCTGTTCCAGTGTCTCATTGTAAAAGAAACCCCTATTCTTTAGGTCCAATGTAAATCTACCCTCTTTCAGTTTAAAATCATTACTCCTTGTAGTATCGCTACAGGCCCTGGCAAAAAGTTTCTCTGTGTCTTTTTTATAAGCCCCCTTTATGTACTGGAAGGTTGCTATAAGGTCTCCCTGGAGCCTTCTTTGCTCCAGGCTAACAATCACAACTCTCTTAGTCTTTCTTCATAGGAGAGGTGCTCCAGCCCTCTGACCATTTTTGTGGTCCTGCTCCAACAGCTCCATGTCTCTCCTGTACTGGGGCCCCCAGAGCTGGATGCAGTACTCCAGGTGGGGTCTCACCAGAGCAGAGTAGAGGGGCAGAATCCCCTCCCTTGACCTGCTGGTCATGCCTCTTTTGATGCAGCCCAGGATATGGTTGGCTTTCTGGGCTGCAAGGGCAGATTATGCCCAATTTTACATCCACCAATGTCTCTGAGTCCTTCTCTGCAGGGCTGCTGTCAGTCTATCCATCACCCAGTACTTCTGCTTAATATTCAGCACTTACTGTTAAATAGAAAGATGGAGATTCCATTCTCCTGGGCACTTCTGCTGGCTGGGTTAGACAGCTCAGTGCTCCCTGCGTGCTAGCATCTGCAAATGCCGCATAGTTAATAACCTAGCTGCCAGGAGCTGTAGGGGGAACTCAAACACCAAATTCAGAATTGAGGCTTTAAAATTGCAATGATACTGCAGTTAGATATACAAACACCTGACTGTTGCCTCAGACACTTGTTTGTCAACGTGTAAGAGGGACACATTGCAGGTCAGCTGGCAAATGCCCACTTGTTTTCCATCCAGCAGTTTATTTGCATGTTTCAACCTTATTTCCCTCTGTGATTTAGCCACGAGTGACTAACCCATGCTGGGAAAACAGGAAACTATCTGCTCCACTATCTGTTCTTCCATGCTTGCCAGATTCTCTAAACCGCTTTCCTTTCACAGCTCAATCTCTGCTTTACTTCAAGTAAATATTTTTGTTACTTAAAAACTCTGAATCAAAGGACCATAGCTCTCTAATCTTCCTCTCAGAATTTAATATTATATTCATGAAAGTACAGTTCAGAAGTAATTGCACTGATTTAATGCAACAGTAAAAGCCTGTGCTCTATAACTGTGTCAATTTGTTTTTCAGGTGAAGACAGATGATAGAATAATCAAAATGGACCTCGGCCTCTTATTCCTAAAGCTGCATCGGCTGGATGCAGGGACCTATTTTTGTCAGACGGTGGAACACAGCATTGTTCACACTGTCAGGAAAATCACCCTGGAAATAGTCGAGGAAGAACGCGTAGATGAAATGTTCAATAAAGACTATGAGGAGGAGATACCTCACAAAATGCCATGCCCAGTGCAGAGCAGTATACCTCAGGCATCAAAGCCATGGTACAAGGAATTTCTTCAACTAATAGGTTACAGCAACTTCCAGAGGGTGGAAGAATACTGTGAAAAAGTGTGGTGTACAGATAAGAAGAGAAAAAAGCTCAAAATGTCTCCATCTAAGTGGAAATATGCCAACCCTCAGGAGAAGAAGGCAAGGATCAGGCCAGAGCATTACCGGTTGCCCAGGAACATAGCTGACTCTTGATGGACAAAATCTATCCACAGTTTCTGGGCAAAATTTTATTTGGACTTAAGAAAGAGGGAGAAAACAGTCTTGGTTTTGGTAAATGACACAGGTCTATATATATAGAATATTGGGACTGAAAACAAAAATGCTCTGGTAAGTTATACTGTACACTCATGATGACTGTTTAGAAGTATTTTAAACAAAATCTTCTTAACTATCTGATTCTAGGTAGGTCAATGCAATCAGAGTTTTGCATTAGGGAGGATGTGACAATCTTCAGACTTTGAGTGCTTGAATCAGTTTCCTGTGTGGACCATGCTTGCGCTGTATATTGTTGCACATGATGGCATATTTAACAAATTCAAATAGCTAAGCATTCACAAGTGGGTGACAAATACAACACGTGTCTTTTCTTAGTTTCACTAATTTCTCATGCTTCTGAAAGCAGCATGTCTTAAGATCTCTCCTTTTGATTGTGAGCTGTATGAGTTTATCACTGAGAACAATGAGTTGTGTTAATACAGTGTACTGCTATTTCTAAAGGTAATGAAGGGAAATCGTATTTACTTCCCACCATTTTTTGTCTTATCAGTCATTTATGAAGCGCAGTGTGCTCTCACAGCTAAATAATATTGCCTGGTAACTTGATGTAAGTCAAATGCATGCTGAGAACACAAACAGAACTAAATTCTTCAACTTATTTATATAAAAAGTTGGAATAATGGTTTAGATAGAAAAAGAGTCTATCTTGCTTCTAATAATGGATCTTGCCTTAGTAATGACACGAATTGAGGGAGTGCCCTCTTGTGGCAAAACAAAGCAAAAGCCGAGATTATCATCTATTTTCTGAAGAAATGTGTATAGCGAAGAAGTATTACCCAGATCCACAGCTGGTTTGTTTTCAGCACACGCTCCTAGTCTCGGTGTGCTGAATCCACAGATTTAGAAGGCGGTGTTGGAAGTCATTAATACTGGAAAGACAGAATTTAAAGTAAGCAATGCTTTATGTTGTTAAGGTGCTTTTGGGGTAAAATGCAGTCATAAAAAGTTAGGATGTAGATTAAAACCAAGAAGAACATTATACAGCTGTGTTTCTATAATTTCAGGGTCTGCTCCTCGTAGATCTTTTCCTGATATGTGATCTCTGGTCAAAAGGGCTGATTTGCTGCTCTCATGAGTGATACCAGGAGAGATCAAAGAACTAAGTCACTTATAATCTAGATCTTTCAAGATTTACTTAAAAAAAAAAAAAATTAAAAAAATCTTTCTTCAAGTGCAAGAAACCAGATGCAGAAAATGCAGAAAAACTAGCATTTCACTACTTGAGAAATCTGACATTACAATATGAATCGGATTTATTTTTTTTCAATTGGAATTTTTTTTTAAAAAAAGATAGGGAAGTTATAAAATCAAATGAATCACAAATGAGTTAACTCCTCAAATGAGAACATGATGCCAATAGGGGAAATAGTCAAGCTGATACAGATTTTGATGCCACCAAGAAAATACACAAGGGATTCACCAGCTACAAAGAAGTTCATGTTCAGCTTCAACCTCTGACAGAAGTTAGATTTAGTGGGAATTAACAGCCTGGATATCAGAGATTTGCAAGGTTTGCTGTGTTAACAAAGGCAGCAATCAATGCTAGCCCAGTGATTCCCAAATAGGCTGTGTATGAGAGGATCGTGCGGTTGCTGGCAGGATCAGTCAGCTTTGCTGCGCTCCTCTGGGAACAGAGACTGTCCCGGTGTTTGAAAGGAGCCGGGGGGCACACTGTCAGCACCAGAGCATGAGGAAAACAGGGTGTCACCTTGTGTCGGTATAACAGCAGATAAATCTTTCCATCAGCCAGTTGTGTTAAGAAAATCAATTTATCTGAGGGTTTGCATTTTGTTTAGCTAGAATGCCTGAGAGATGGGACCAGATGCTGTGCGCAGCTTTGCATAAATTCACTCAGTTGCTAACTTTGATCTGATACAGGAGATTAGATAAATTCACTTTTCCATGACAGTTTAATGGAACTTAGTTGCAGTTAGGATCCTCTGTTTGTTTGCAGTTATATGGAAAGCGCTAGCACTGAAGGCTGTGGAAGAGAGAGTGTACTCAGAACAAACATCACTGATTTATACTTGGTCCTCTATACAATCTTCACTGGCATCCTTGATGGAAAACTGTTAAAACACTACTGAAATCCTTTTCTGATGAATTATGTAGTCCACTTCAACAGTAATAGGAGTTACATTTTTCTTTTTTCTGATTCATTTGCTAGTATCTAGTGCCAAATGTACCATTAATGGACTATTAGAAAGGAATAACATCATCTCAGCCTGCTGGAACAAATATAACTTTGTGTCTCATTCTCTGAGATTTCAGGTGGAAATCATGTGATATGCAAATCAGGATTCCTGATTTAATACAAGAGCATGTATTTTTAGCTTCCCATCCCTTTAGTGGTTACATGTGGAGAATGGCATTAAATTTTTATTTACCTTTTAAAATTTAAATTTCTATCATCTCACACCTTGCTACATTCATGGTTGCAATGCCTGTGAGAATTCGGAACTACAAGGTCTTGTTCAAAGAGTGCTACGACATCTATGGAAGAGAGAGCGCGACAATGTATTTTGGAAGGATACGCACAAACGTGCTTGTACACAGACAATGTCATTTAAAATGCTTCTTTGTATATTTGGGGGGCATTGTCTGCTTCTTTTCATTATGACTTTGATGTATTTTGTATGTGCATGAAGTGGTAAAATTATAAATATAATTAAGAACCATATTTGGCTGAAATAATCCGTATTATTTCTCATAATTCATTTTCACCAGACAATATGATTATGCACAGATCACTAGTCACACATTGTTATTTACAGATGCCCTTCACCGTGCACTTTATGAGCAATCTCAGGTCAAGACAGAGGGATGTTAGCATACGGCTGCCAAATGGGAAACTGTGGTACAGAGCAACAAGTAGATTTAGTCTGTTAATGTCAGGTAGATTTGGGAAAGCTATGATTAGAGCAGCATCTGCTGCATGAATGTATTCTGAGAGTGGAACATGCTCACTTAAACCTAGAAGATTCTAACTGATGGAAATTCACTGAGAAACAACAATTTGGATAAAGCTTTGAACTCTGCTTTGCTGCCTGACAAGGGACAAGCCAGGTTGCTTGGACTAAACACTTACCTTGCTTTGCTCTTGCTCTTTTGTTCTCAGTGAGATTACTGTCACCTTGTACAAACTACTGTGCTCTCAGATTCTGTTGGGACCTCAAGCCAGGAGAGTGCTAGCCTGCTGTGAAATTTCTGGCTTGTATATCTCAAAGTAGGATTTTAGGATCTACACAACTTTTCAGTAGCATAAACCAGATCTCTTTACGTAGGCAAGAGAGAAAAATAATTGCCCTACATTCAGGTACCTGAAGAGCAGAGTTAGTGATATTTGAAGAAGTTCTTGAATTAACATAAGTAGCATAGTTATAGAGTTTCTCTTGTTCATTTATTTTCTTTTAAGTTGGTGGGAAAAAATCAGTTTTCTTTTCCCCTAAAAAAAAAAGCAGTCAGTCAGTTTCCCTTTCTGAAAGTCCTTTAATCTCCTCAGTCTACCTTGGAGCAGTAAGGCTGGAGTTATTTATGTAACTTCATGTCTCTGGGTCGAGAAGGCACAAACGCTTTTGAAAGCTGCACTGTCCAGATAAGACGCACTGAAAGTGAGCTTTTCTACGTCTGTAACCTAGCAGGATGTCTGCAGGTCCTATCAGCCCTGGAGTCCTGTTCAGTTCACCAAATTACTGCTTTTAAAGGAGAATTCATGTCCAGTTAGCATGAGTATTTATCGTAAATGAAGCCACGATTGACAAGTCTTGCCTTTGGATGATATTTACTTTCTCCACTAGTAATAAGTGATTTTTTATAATTTTAATTTTAATTTTTTTTGAGGAAATAAGTTATCTGACTAGCACTATAGACAGAAAAGTGGCAGAGCTGGCAATGTCAAGTAGAGCTACTGGTTGCTATGAGTTAATCAAAATCTTACAGTGATGCACACATTTCTGAACAAATTTACCAAATATTAACCTAATCCATCACCATAATCCCATTTCACAAAATAACTTTGCCCCTTTGGGATATGACTCTTATGTAACGTTGAACCAAGAAATACATTGCTAAGCCTTTGCGCACATCTACTCATGATTTGCTGAAGTGAGAGGTGCAGGACTGAGCATAGTTGAATGTAGGTGGAGCAAAGGGGCCTTAGTTGCCCAGTTCCTAGATTTCCCGAGATTCTTATCCATATCTAGAAAAAGCAGATTTAATTGCAGGAGGAGAAGCCTGGATCCATGAATGGTTTGGTGAGTCACAGATGCTGTTTCAGAACATCTGCGGGCTAAAGAGCCATTGTGAATAACTTGTTTCAGTAGACTTCCCCAATTGCAACATTCGGCAATTTCCATTGAAACAAAACATCTCTTTATTGGCGATGTTAGTTAATTTAACTGCAGAATTTCATGCCTTTGAGAGTGTTTTTACACATCTTTGAAAAGCCAAGTTTGAAGAAGTACAGTCTAGGATTACATTTAATGTGGGTGCATTTGTATACAAATTATGAATTCTCAGAATATCTCTAGTCAGTTTGAAATTCAGCGTATCCAACAAAAATCACACATGTAGCCCATAATGATTTTTTTCTCACTCTAAAGAATCACACTCATCCTGTGCCCTCAACATGGATTTCAAGTGTGTCTGTGAAGGCACATAATAATGCCTATCATCATCACTGTCATCGTCATCATCATCATAAGCTGCAACAGCTGTAACTCACTATCTTCTCCTCTTCCCAATACTAAGAGATGAAGTTTGCACACCAATGGGCATAATTAATGCACTATGAGCATTTTCTGCATTTTAATTTGCTAGATGTATTAAAAGGTGCTATTAATAATCAGAATTTGAAGAATGCACTGTGGACTTTGTCAAAATCAAGGTAATGGAAATATTCTACCTGTAGCTTTAATTCAGGCATACAGATCATTAGTATTTAATTTACTGCATTTTCTTCAGCTAAAATGTGTTAGTTACTACATTATTATTTTGCAGTCAGTAAAAATATTTGATAGTGCTTTTTATGTTCAGAATTTGCTTAGTTTCACAACAGCCACCAGAGGGATGAAAATACCTTTTAGCATCCTTCACTCTGTGGTTTACCGGAGCAGAAATGGCCCGTGGCCAGCCAAAGCTCCCCCACGACACAATGCAGTGTTG